CATGAGTCGAAGCGTCGACCACCAGCACCTCCTTAACTGTGACGTTGATATGACCTGAGGCCAAGCATAGTGCTTTAAGTAGTGGAGATCGTCAAATTATTGAGCTTGGTCTTGAACTCGAGTTTTCGGCAAAGCTGGGGACCTGACACTATGCTGTGTGTAGAGCGGTTCGTATCGGATTGTGGCAAAGTTGGGGACCTCGAGCGACCTGTAGTATAATCGTCATAGTGCGGGAAGATTGTCATAAAATCCTTGAATGTGATGTGCTCGCCTCTGCTCAGACTCAGAATACTTGAAGGTGGTGCCTTCACCACAAGGGATGAGCTATCCACTTAGGAAATGGGAGGAGGAATTGTGTAGAGACGCTGAAGAACCTTTGGGGTTCATGGCACGGGAAAGCGGTCTAGGTCTAGTGATGTACGTTTGGTTTCATTCCGCCAGTGCATGCAGATTTTACGCAGGAAAGCGATTGATCAGAATCAGAACTGGAGTGTGGAAACTGAATGAAATGCATGTATTAATAGTTTGTGACTAGTTCGCCCTGGAACACGAGTTTCCTTCATCCCCAATTCGAGGGGAGTTCCTTTCAGATTCCAAGTCCACCGTAACTGTCTCTGCGGCACGCATAGATGATAGCTCGGTCTCCAGGTCGTTGAAAGCGATCCCTAAGCTTACACGAATGACAATAACGGACACTGTTATGCCCTGTGTGCAGTGTTAAATATCAGTATATGCTGACCTAACTGGACTAAATGACCTACCGAAACACAGGGCCATGCACTCATGAGGAAGTCGACAGCAAGGACCTCTAGTATCCAATCATCGTAGAATATCGCATCTAATCTCCGGGTTGTATCGATTTGAAGGCTAGCGATCGCGAAGAGATATGCTGTGTAAAATATCCCTGACTCGAGACTGAATCGAGTTATTGTACAGGATTTAGTGCGTGTTCGAGGGCTTACGTTGCAGACATTACGGTTCTATACATGTTGCGAGAATGGGGGCCAACCGAGTCCGCTACTCGGCGACCTATTGAGAAGACTTTAAATGCTAAGGTGTGGTTTGTCAATGTGGAATAAGAAGCGATTTAAAATCCACGGACCGATGAGCGAGGAAAGAATCAGATTGTATACAGCAATAACCACTGGCAATGCAAGCGGTGGCGAAACGGTGATTTTGACCGAGCCGAGGGTCGATAAAGCAACGGTCACCAATGCAATAGCTGTGTGAATTGAGCGTGTACAACTTGATGACAATTTACGCAATATACCGTGTACTCCGACCGCCAGCATGAAAGGTATTATCGCGATTTTCCAGCGTCTTCCCCAAACCGTGTAGTAGCGCGATAGCTATGAATGGTATGAATGAGTCGATGCCTACTCATAGAGGTATTTGGTTGTTTACCAGAAGAGTGTCAGCGATTGCACTGATAGGTTGATTGTAAGCAATTGAAAGACACCAAAAATCGGCTGTACAGACCTGCAAATGTATACTACCACTAATTTGCTTGTACTTTCTCCCAGCGCTAAGTTCTGAGGGCTTGTTCGTATTTTCAGCAAGAAAAAAAAGGTAGTTATAATCTTAAACCTCGTACATCTTCACTTTCAGCAATAAGAAAGCGGTACCCGTCGTGTCAAGGGCGAGGTTAGCCAAAACAAGGAGGAAAATGAGAGTGTGAGCAAGTTGGTAGTACTTGTATGATGCCTTCTTTCGCTTGAGCAGAACATGGGTACAGACACCGAACAACACCACATATGCACCTTCGAAGAGTCAGAAAAGAAAATTAAACCCAAAGATAGGTACCACGCACCGTACAGCATAAACTCCCACTAAAGTCAGTTGGAGACATGGGCCAAAATATCATAGTAAAAGATTGCCACGTACCGCAATCAAAGCCATTAGTAGCAGGGGTGAATCGACTTTGATACTGCCCATCTTCGCGGTTGCGTGTACTATCAAGATGGGAGTGGAACCCGCGTGGCTTCTTAAGTAGAATACCAGTGACATCCAGCAATTCCTAAATCAGTTGTGATTTGAACACGTTCTACATCAGCAACACGTCTGTGATCATCTTGTGGCAGTGATTAATTGTGCATCCCTGTCCGCACTTGGCCGGTATTATTGACTCGAAATACACATCGCGAAATGAACGCTAGACTCACTTTCCTTGTTCAGCTACAACCACTCCCATCACCATTATGCACGGATTTGAAAAAAAAGCTGCAGCCACCCGAGCGGAACACACTACGATCTTTGGCGATGTTGGTTACGCACCCGATGCATTGCTACCCAACGTCCTTGATTATCAGGAGCGCTTTCCTGATCCCATGTCCCAATGTAATTCACATCGTTGGGTGTAGAACTGGTGTATTACCCTGTTTTTCGCCTCGCGTTATGGAGACATTCTTATGGTTTTCAGAAGTCACGAAGGCTAGAATTGATCAAACAAAGGATACTTACCACGCCGGGGACAAAACGAGTATGGATATCGTGGTGCAGGAAACAATGGTAGTGAATCATTAGTGATCGGTATAGCCCTGGGATACAGTTGACATAGAAAAGGGAACATACCTTTCCCCTGGTTGTCGTGGGGAAATAGTGCCGGAAACGCAGGCTTTTGTCGCACAGTGAAACGCCCCGGCAAAGGACGCTGTTCGTTTCCGATCACTGGGGTACCTAATTTTACGCCAGCTGGATTGCGGGGGATACGATTGCGTACTGGGGCGGCGAGCGCCCCGCCTGTCGATGGAAGCGCCTGTTATTGTGGGTTACTTAGTATCCGTGTGGGGGGTTACTCACCGTGCGTTAGGTCACCGACGCGAGCTACTCCGGTGTCCCAATGGATAAAATCTGATGAAACATGGGTATGAACGCCGCTAGGAGAGAAGTCACTCACTCACACCAACATAGAGTCATGATTCGTCAAGGTTTTATATCGATCGAATTGCCTATTTTGTCTCTTGTGCGAATTCGAGCATGAATGCTGAAAGGGGAGAAGAATCTTGGCTATAGACACCGAGAACGACACGGGTTGGATCTGGAACGCAAAACTCCCCGGTTTCTTAATAGCTCTTCTCTCCTATTGACACCGAGTCCGGTTCGTGACTGTTGCGTTTTGATCGCCGATAGACCTCGTACAGAGACAAGAGTTCGTGATCAAGAATCAAAAAGGTAGATGACCGGGAAGGAATCCAAATATCGGACTTGTCGCATCGAACAGATTGGAACGAGTTCTGCATCGTTATACTATCCAATCGATGTATGCGGAGTACTAGGCCATCTGCTGATGATTGCCTGGAATCGGTACATTGTTCACAATACCGATAGCGCAAAGATCAGCGAGAAGCGATGTTTTCTGGATATCCCTGTAGTAACGTGCAGGATGAATATACGTTGACGTGAAACCTTGGACTATGTAGTGGCCGAACGCGATGAGTATGTAGAGAACACAATTTGACTCGTACAACCAATATCCCGAACTTCGACTCTACTCCAATACGGACCGACAATACAAACATTGTCTGATATTCTGCGGGAGATGTCGTAGAGGTGAGCATGAAGACCGAAAGATGACTTGGTATAGATGACGGGTAGAAAGTGATATATTTCGTCTTCTCATTTGCCCTCTACCTTTGTAACCCTGCAGCGCGAAAATCTGAGTGAAAGGACGGGTCCAATGCACGGTCCCTCGCATTCAAGTCTACACCGAACCCCTCGTCAGGTACCAACGATGTCCTAGATTTGACGTGGCTTCTGGTCCGGTTTCGTATAGTAGAGGTCGAGGGAATTGTCTATCGCAGCGATTGACATGCCATAGTACGCGTAATTGGTAAGGGCGAGTGGAAGGGAGTAGCGGTAGCGTCAACGGTAGATAAGAACGACACATTGAGCGGTAGAAAAGGAAGTATGGCGACGACAATGAACGAAAGAGAGTGTGACATAAGCCTGTGACATGGGTCCTCTGACATGAGGGGTGTTGGATAGTCGATGTCTTCGTGTACTGTCTGGGGATGGAGTAAGCATGGACACGGAATGATAGCGAGCAGCACATTGTCCTATGATACGAGCATTTCAACGGTCGCGTTAAAACCTAACGAGGGAGGTTGAAGCTTCCTAGTATGTTGGAGCCGGTAAAGCGTAGTCGGTACGGGTGGGCGGAATGGTAGTCATAAGATAGGGAATGGAGTTGTGTGATCCAAACTGCAGGGGAGTCGATAAGACAAGGGCGTAACGCGTACAGCCACTTGCATTCAATTTCTCATCCAAACTCTCCTTATACCTCTAGCTCGCCCAAGCCTTCTCTCCGGGATTTGGTCAGTAGCGAGAAACGGCTGAGAGAGGAAACCGGTAGAGAAAATGGCCACTGGCAGCCGCTGATACGCATAATCGGGAGGGATAGTCGGTAGCGGACGGAATGATAGCAGTGGTAGCGTCAAATGTAGGCAAGACGGGTGGAAAAAAAATTGGATTGACATATGTGTCAGCGTTCCAAGTATTCCCATAGCAGGGATGGTTAGAGAATTACGTATCTGCGTTGTGTCTGCGTGCCAGTAAGTATGGGTTATATGAGAAGGGTTGCACGTACGTGGCCACGTCGAACGAGACGGAAAAGTTGCCATGACTAACCGTCACCCTATCCATTGTTGCCCTCTTTTATCCTTCACCCATATCCCCCAGGTAGAGCCGAAAAGTCGTTTCCCAATCCACTCGTGGACGAAATTCCATTGTTGAGAGTCGACTCGATACGGAAGGTGCAAAGTAGTCGGTATACAGCTAGCGAGCGAGCAACAATCTAGCTTTTGGAAATAGAGGGGGAGTATACGCAGCGGAGCTTTGAGCAAGTAAGAGACAGGAGACGAATCGACGATGGCACAGCACAAACTCGGATTCGGAACCCTAAACCCAGCTCAGGCACCGATCTCACGCTTACAGTTCCGTCATCTCCGCGGATGTAAAACTTCTCGCCGCCATGGATGTGATCATCACAAGAATCTGGCATCGGCGCTATAGCCAAGTGGTTACGGCGACAGATTAGAATGTTGTATCCTCTGTGATTCATCTGTTCCTCTTTGAGGGCGCAGGTTCAAATCCTGCTGGCGTCGATAACTTACCTGTCGTAAACCTTTTTTCGTTCTCATTTCACAACCAATGCTGGTGAAATATATTGATGAACTCATATCCAACACCGCATTAGTGGTGGTAACCTTGGGTCGAGTCCTTGTCGACCCGCCGGGGGTTGCATTTCCCCTTGATGCATATCCCTTTCTTTTTTGGTTTCTGTGTTACCATGTATACCATCTCTGTCCGAAATTCTCGAAGATATGATATCGGAGTATTAAGTCAAAGCTGTATGTGCATAGAGTGAGTCAACCAAGCTCAATGCCTGCCTGGCTCAATCGGATAGAGCGTCAGACTCTTATCCCGCCAGGTTTATATCCAGATCTGAAGGCTGCGAGTTCGACCCTCGCGGTGGGCTACTAGCAGTTCCCTGACCCATTTTTTGTACTTCCCGACTCAAATGTGGTCGTCATGTACCTATTCCAGTACCCCCCTGCACTCGAACTTCTATTGTTCGACCCTTCGAGGTTGGTCAAGTACCGGTTCTTTAGAGTGTACATGTAGTGGTCACAAACCTCAAAGGACGTCCCGGTGTAGAGCCGATAGCAATATTAGGAAACCGGAGAATCTACCGTCCCGGTCATGCTACCATTGAATATCGAAATGGCTCTACGGTTTCTATATCCTTCTCCACCGGCGTTCATACCGGATGCCACTCCTACACGTTCCATGCAACCTGCCGCCAAACAGGCTTTGAGATCGGAGGATTACCGTTTGGCAAACGATGCACAGGCTGAAATCAAGAAGGGTGTTACAATAGATTATTTGAAAGAGTGATTCGGACGGAAGTTGGAATCGATGCTCGAACACGAAGGATATAGCCGATCTATAAACGCCTGGGTCGTTTAATTAATCGTAGCGTCACGATTGGAAGACACTTGCAGATAGATCTGTACAGATTAGAGTTAGATCCGGGGCGTGAATTCACCGGTTTCTTAATATTGATAGCTCTGCTCCTCTACTGACACCGATCGAATGATGCGAGTCTGATTCTTAACTGGGTGTATTGAACTCGAAGAGTAGCTAACGAACGATAGCCATCGAAGAAGTGATAATTGGTATGACCCCATGAGTCAATGTTTAGTACCAATTGTACATCAAAGCCACCCACATTCTTCAATGAAGAGAAGATAAAAATCAACAGGAGATATGAAGCCAGAACACGAAGGCACCAAGCGAAAAGAACAAGTGTTATAATCCGAAATTTAGAAGAACCCAAATACAGGGTAATAGTCGATGTTGTCCTGCCAATGAAAACAAGTCAGCGGTAAGTAACATCAGCCTGATCGAGAACGCACCTGGAAGGTGTTCTTCTGCGGGCTACGCAAACACTTTAAGCCAAGTTCGCGGGGAAAAAATGCGCATACACTCACTTATAGAACAGAACCTTTCCGAAATCGTCGGTAAGAGAGAAGTTGTACGAAATCCCAGCCCCATCCCCAGCCTTGCGGCCGAATACGATACCAGCCAAAATAGTCACATTCTTGAATGAGGAAAGCTATCAACGCCCGAGCGGTGAGGAATGATTCGTAGAAACACTTACATCTGCACCGATTTGACCAGAGGCCCAGTTCGAAAGAGCTGTCTTATAGGCTGTCATAGGGTGATCTTAACGACTTCCGTTCCTTGTGGACTAGGTTGATACCGTACATACCAACAGCAAACGAGTCCCAGTCAAAGATTTCGGACCTCAAAGCACGTCCATCTAGCCCGGAATCCTTCCAGATGGTCTTCCAAGCTCCTTGTGGAAGAATGATGTACCTGGAAAGGTGTTAACACATGAGAATTCCACTGTCACGGTAAGTACGACATACTCTCCGTCCAATTGATAGCTTTGGATACTCTGCGTGAAGAGAGGACTACGCAAGAGGACGTGTTTGATCTCCTCAGCAGATCGGCTGACGCGTTCAAACAGCCACTGCTGATGATCATTGGTAGATGTTATATCACCTAGCCATCCCATGATTTGAGCGCCGACTGGGGCTCCGCTGTCACCCGCGTCAATTGATTTATTATTCTGTAATGTACCACGTACCCTCCAATATCAACATATGCTGAAATATTAGTAGTCAGTTAGTTAGTAAACCTCTATAAGAGGTTAGTCCATATCAACATACTCTTCGAAGCTACGTTTTGGAGTCTACAATGATCCACTTCAGCTTGGAATCATGTGTACAAACCAACTCGAACCTGTATTTCCCGTAATTATCCCTCTTAATAATCCATTTCTGGCAGTCCTTTCCCGTTCCCTTGCGACATTGGATCGGAACACCACGATCGGCCTTTCCTGGAAGTGATCGTGTACCCATGTAAGCGGACGGAACCCATAGCTCAAGAGACTCACCGTCCAGTAAGTCGACGAAACCCCCAGTTTTGAGATTACGGATAGTGAAGGTATCGACAGTGTTAGCGATAGGCTCCACGAGCCAAAGCTGGTTGGATGCGACCAAGTCCGTGGAAGTGCTCCATTGTGTTGGATGCTTGGTGAAATTGATGACCGCATTACCTGTGTATTATGAGGGATCATGTCAAGGTGAATTATATTATATGCGTGAGATGAACGAACCCTCGGTATCTAATCCTGTGTTCGCGAGTTATCTTGTATCGTGCGAACGACACCTAAGCTCCAACGAAGGCTTACCACCCTTGAGATCAAATACGCGAGCCAAGCCGGCATTCTGGATGAAATCTGTAGCGACATGATCAATAACAGTGCATCGTCGTTTCAGGTTCATCCACTAGAAGCCTTACAGACACCACGCGAAATAGACATGATTCGTCGAGATTGTGCTAGAGATAAGTAGATGGAAAAGATCGAAGATGAGGATTTTGTGCCTGTAGATTTGGCTTTTATACCGCACGAATGAGTAGCAAAATATTACTGGATGTAGGTTCCCAACCTCCGTGCAAGACGTCAGGAGAAGTATAAGATGGGATGTATGTTCCTCTCAAACCTTTGTATGGAAGGGCATGTTCTACTCGACGTCAAAGCGAGAACAGAGATCATACATACAACTGTAGTGACAATATAGAGCTCTACATACACGCAATCTTGTGCAGTATGGATAAAGGATAGGCATCCAACCACTCCAGAAGGAAGCTTTATTTGAGCCTTGACCGACATGCCGCGGGAACGTTCAAGTTCCTTGTCCGATCTATCAACACCCTGGAAGGTGAACAACACATGAGCTGTTCCTATTGAATGGTAGCGCCATAAGGGGAACACCCGTGTAGACAGATCGTTGCAGGTAAGAGTTAGATTCGGAATAGTAAATTCTCCGGTTTCTTAATATTGACTCTATTGCCACCGGAATATCATAATTGAATGATGCGCGTCCGTTTCATGGCCACAGCATCTCGGAGAAGTTCCGGTCTTTGGTTAACCTCGAATGATAGCCAACAAACATTATCTGTTTAAGAACTGATATGATTCTCACAAGCCAGTAAAGATCGATGCTCGGCCCAGTGCAAATCTCACAGATACCATTGTTCAATACGTATTGTACATCAAGGTGACCCAGTTTCTCGATGAAGGGAAGACGAAAACCCAACAGGAGTTATGAAGCCAGATCACGAAGCCAAAAAGTGAAAAAGAATGTGTTTTATGTGTTATAGTGGATAAACGTGCCGCAAGTCCAAAATTTAGAAGAACCCGAATACAGGACAATAGTCGATGTTGTCCTGCCAATCAAAGCAATTCAGTAATGGCTAACGTCAACTTGATCGCAATCGTACCTGGAACGCATTCTTCTGTGGGCTATGAAACCACTTTTAGACATTGTCATGCGCAAACAACATGCATACACTTACTCATAGAATAGAACCTTTGCAAAATCGTCGGTGAGAGAGAAGTTGTACGAAATCCCTGTCCCATCTGCAGCCTTGCGGCCGAACACAATGCCAGACAAGATAGTCACATTGTAACGCCTACGCCTACATCCCAACATTCATGCGTTCCTTACCATCTCCGGTCTCCCATTACCCGTTTACCCGGTCCATTACTATATAAACAAGCTCATTTCTTTACCTTTGTTAGTCTTACTTTGCCCCAGTACTTGTACATACGTCGTTATAAAACCTCGTTGTGTCCAGGTCGCGGGTGATTTAAGGCTCTCAGCTACCATACCTAGACGTCACGTCTAGGGAGCTGTTACACACATTCTTGAATGATACAAGCTGTCAGCCCCAACGAGATGTCGCTCGACGCAATCTGATGCAATCCGATGCTATCTGAGAAATCAGGTAAAATCTGACGTCTGCCGACAATCACTTAACGTAGGACCCCCGGTTATACCCTCAGAGGTCTGAGGCCGATTCGGATGAAAATTTGGGGAAATTTTTGGGATCTATGAGGTGAAATCGGATGAAAATTTGAGGTTTTTTGCAAAGGTCTGAGGCGGCCGTCCGGATGAAAAATCGGACTTCAGGGAAGGTTTGAGGTCAAGTTCGGATGAAAATCTGGTGCTGCACAGGTTCGAACCATCCACTGCCAGCCTATGGAGGTCAGACCAAGGTCAGACGGCGCGCTACCAGTTAGACTACCGTAGCGGTACCATGAATACTTTGCAGAGCATGTCTGTCGACGTTCAGAAAGTATTATACTGAGATGACTCGATTGACGCGTGCTCAGGCGGTGAAAATTTTCATCAAAGAAGGCAACTCCCACCCGGCAAACTGGATATCTTCTGCAATTCTGTTAATTATGGCATCTACGACACTCTTTGATGCCGCACTCATTCTCGATACCGACGATGAAGATGAACTGGTCGAAGAATTGGATACATCGGAATGGATAGGGCAGGGGAAAAAATTTCCAGTGAACCCACCGCCCCCTTTAGTTGTGTATTGTTCCAAAATTTGTCGCGTTCCGCGAGAGATTGAAGCTCGGTTCATCCCGAGTGACAGCTTGACCGTGGAAGAGATGCTGTCAAAGAAGCTTCCCGAGGCAGCCCACGACTTCATCCACGTCACGGCGAGCTCTTGCTTTCGACTGGAGCCCCCCAATCAGGACGTCGACACCCTCGATACCCTCAGGATACCCTCCAGAACATTCCTCGAATCACTACAGAAAGCCCTTGACCAAGCTATCTTGAACAATGCCAAATCAGTCGAGCATCCTTTATATCAACAATCACGCTTCCCCTTATGGACTGTTGGATTGTGGCAGCGCCTCTATGCAGCTGGCGAACGACAGGCAGAATGGCGTGCATCGTTGAAATGGTTGGACAATGCAGCCTGCAACTCCAGTCCTTCAGAGCAGACTGCCCTCGACAAAGCCCGTAAACAGCTCTTGCAGCTCCGTTGGAACGAGGCCGTCAACATCAGTGGTGCACCGAGTCATGCGCGGACTCCTCTTCT